GGGCGCCATCAACAATCATACATCTCATCTAACAGTTATACGACAATGCTGCATGCCAAGTAATCCACAACGGGAAACTTACGGAAGCCCTCGAAGTGAGGACGGGAGTGAGGCAAGGCTGTCTACTATCGCCAATGATCTTCCTGATTGCAGTAGATTGAATGATGAGACAGATAACGGGCAATGAAGAAACAGGCATAAAATGGACTCACACAAGATACTTGGAGGATCTGGACTTCGCCAATGATATATGTCTGATTTCCCACAAACTGGAAGATATGCAAGTGAAAAGCAACAAGTTGGAAGAAGAAGCATCAAAGATAGGACTTCAAGTGAACATAGATAAAACAGAGGTGATGAAGATTCCTGGCCAACACCAACAGCAACAACAACAACAGACAACAATCAGCATAAATGGGAGGAACCTGAAAGAAAAAACCTCCTCTACCCACTTGGGAATCATCGTTTCAACTACAGGCGGACGGAAGTGATCAGGATATCAAAGCCAGAATCGGAAAAGCAAGACAAGCTTTCGAAATAATAGAGAAGATTTGTAACTCAGGTGGATGATTTGTAATTAATAGTGTTCTCTGAGCTGGTTAGTTTAGTTGCGGAGCTTTGGTTATCCTTCTGGACAACATTTTCAGCGCAATATTTGGCATGAACTGAACTGATTTAAATTTTCCATGAGTGAGAGAATTTCGTCTTCCGGTAACCATCTTTAGATATGTATTGACCGTCTTCTATTGACTTGGATTTTAAACTTTCTGATCACCTGATTTACTTTTTATTATTTGGTATATTTCATCTATATTAACGTGTTTATTAATTGCATTTTTGTTTGAGTACCAGGCTTTTAGGAACTCACTGGCACATTTGGTGTCTCATCTGTCTAAGATTTTGACATTATCCCAATCAAATTGATGTCCATAATCGTCTGTATGCATTGATACTTAAGAATTCATATCATGTCTTTTCACGGCTGATTTGTGTTCTTGGATTCTTATTCGAAGGGGGCGCCCACTTTGGCCGATGTAATATTTGTTACAGTTCACTCATGAAGAAATTTAAATCATTTCACTTTTTCCTAAATACTGCGCTGTAGATGTCGTCCAGAGAGATGATGATTGCTCCGCAACTAAACCAACCAGCACAGAGAACACTATTAATTGCAAAAAACAAGCTTTCATTACTCCTAAGTCTGTGGAGGTCGACAGAACTCAGCATCAAAAATAAGATCCGGATTTTCAACTCCATTGTAAAGTCGGTCAGTGCTACTATACGGATCAGAGACTTGCACTGCGCGTCATCTCAAACAAACTTCAGACCTTCATTAACAGTTGTATTCGCTCAAGATCAGATGGCCGGCCAGAAAAGATCAGCAACAGGGATCTCTGGCGATGAGCAAACCAACCAGGAACCGATTGTGAAACAAATAAGCAGGAAGAAATGGAGATGGATTGGCCATACTCTGAGGAAGCCATCGAGTGAGTGACATCACTAGACAAGCCATCGCTCGAGTGGAACCCGAAAGGGAAGCGGCGAGTTGGTCGACAGTGCTAGGGTGACTTGGAGGAGGTCATGTGAAGAGGAGATGAAAGCATATGGGCAGACTTGGAGCGGGGTGAAAAAGTTGGCAGAAAACCGAAAACAATGGAGACGCGCGGCTGAAGCCCTATGTTCCTCTAGTAATTAAAGGATATAGTAATAAATAATAACAATCATATTACTCAGCCCGGCCCGATTGTTCTACAGGCTGAGACCATTGTGTGGCAAACTACCAATTCAGTTTGGTGCTTCAGCGGCCTACCCACAGAGGTTTCGAATAATCAAACTTCGAACACTGACAACCCTTAATTCCAAGGTTTCTTTGCCATTTCGGCGTCATTCGCTTAATTCTAGAGCTGCAGAAGATCTTTTGACATGGCCTGCCTGGCACAAGTCGGTACGTGAGTATATGCTTGATCCTTTAAGAGTTTAGGAGTTGATTAGAATGGCAACTCTCTCTTCTTTGAGTTTAGTACGATTTTGGGAAAGCATATTGGCCAGTTTACTGTAGATTCAGGTTTTTGGAGGATTCTATACAAGCTTTACACCTGATACTCTCATTGCAGGGGTTTGACCAAGTTAAAGTCATGCTCAAACCTAAACTTGGGATCGGAATCCTGTGATTCTTCCAATTTGTGGAGAATGAGAGACCTACTAGAGAAATTAGGTTTTCTCGCTGCGGCTTTCTTGCTCTACAGCGTCATTATCTTTCCATCCTTCCTGGACAGTGTGGCCATTATGTTGTCCTTATCTCGCCTTTTGCGGAAGACTTCATTACGCCATTCATTGGTGGTCTCCTCTCTATCTCTGGTCAATTGTGTCTGCTTGCTACCCACCGGTGTGGATCAGGCTTGATATACAAGTGCCTGATGCACCTTTTCCTCGTGCCAGCCTTTTCATTGATGTCATTAGAGGGCTTAAACAGTCTCATAGAGGTGGCATAGGTGTCCAAAATATGGTAGGTGCCCTTTTGTTTTGAAAGGTACTCCCCCACTGACACAGACGCATCAGAAAAATGTACCACCTTGTCACTGACACTAGTTGTGTCATCGGTGTCAGAACAGTAGTCGGTCCTCCCCATAATGGAGGACCTTTGCAGCCCAGGAGCTTTAAAGCCATACTGAGGGTGGTGATGGCCTCCATAACACGAAACTTAGTCGTACTTCAGCAGCCACTTCACTGCCAGTTCACCACAGGTTTACAGAAGCGCTTGTGTGGTGGTGCAGGAGTAAGATTGTGCACATGCTGTGAAACCATCTTTAGCAGCTATCACTCTGCATTCCTTATTCACACAAGAATCAGCACATAACTCATCCACACTGGTCCTTTTTGATGGTCTTACTTTTCAGAGTGAATTGCGACTAGAATATTCAAACATGACCTTATATTTACAACCCTCATATAAATCGTTGATAAAACAACTAATGGGTGTACAGTTCCTAAACTGTCTTAAGTAACCTCATCAGAATTAACAGATATTATCTACCTGAGAGTAAATTAACAGTTAATAAATTAACCGAGTTAATTAAAATCTGATTGGATAAAAAGAGTTTCTATTTTCAGTAGTGTTATTCTCATCTAGGTAAATTGCACAAATAGACTTCAAAAAGGCCTTCGACAGCAATGACCTCAAAGTAATCTGAAAACTGCATCAACGCTATGGCCCACTGTATTTCAAATCTTAGTCAACTTAATTAAACAGATATATGACAGTGCCATGCGATCCCACACAGGAAGACTCAGTGCAGTGTTCAAAGTGAATACAGGAGTTAGACAAGTCTGGCTGCCTCTTGTCACCAATGACTTTCCTAGCTGTGATCCATTGGACTGTGTGGAAGACTGAGTAAGCAGCAAGAAGACAGGAATATGTTGAGTCTATAAGAAGACTCTAGAGGATCCAGATTAGGCAGATGGTTTGTCTAATGTCATACAAACTCAAAAGCTTACAGGCGAAAAATGACAAACTAGCTTAAAAAAGCAGTGAAGACAGGACTCTGCGTGAACATAGAGGCGGAGGTGAACAAAATACTCACATACCACCAGCAACAACAACCAGCACTAATAACTTTCAACGGGTGAAACTCGAAAAAGGTCACCTCCTTCACTTATCTGGCTAAGAAGCATCATTTCAACTACAGGCACATGGAACGAACGATGCCAAAACTAGAAATGAAAAGGCGTTGTACACCTTGAACACTCAGAAATCACCTTGGAAATCTCCTGGATTCAATCAGCTTAAAAAAAGGAGATTCGGAATTTCAACCCAACTGTGAAATCAGTCAGTAGTTGCACGTGAGTCACCAAAAGCATTTCCAGCATACCAGTGCAGACTTGTCAACAGCTGCCTCCTTCAATGGCTCGATAATGAGGAACAAATGACTAGCCAGAAAGAATTACTAGTGAACAAATCAACAAAGAGCCGACTGTTCAAGGAATAGGCAGGAGAAAATGGAAATGGATGGGGCAAACGCCATTGGTGAGACTATTGGGTAACATCGTGATCAATTCCGCCATTGCTCAAGTGAAACCTGAGTGGCAAACGACAAGCCGGGAATCACTTCAAGAATGACATAGAGATCGTGCGGGGAGATGATAGATTAGGGGCAATCGTTGGCCCAGATAATGAGGACCGCAAGAAACAAGACAAAATGGAGATATACTTTACCAGCACAGCTGTACGTTCTACTCGGAACCCTAAGGACAAATAACAATAACAGAAACAGATAGCACAAAGGTAACTGTCTGCAAGGATCTAATCCTATCCTGAGTTTTACGCTGTAGAGCCTAATGTAATTAATTCCATAATAACACTTTTAGTCATTTGAGTTAATCGTCAAATTCCCTCTCGTCTCGAGTGTCAGGAAACTGTGACCACATCTTATAGAGAGACTAAAATATACCTGCGGATCAAAACTCCATGCGAAAGAAACCTGGATTCGTGAAAACAAATGAGACTCGAGCGAAAATTGCAACGTTAAAAATATCCTCATCGAATAGACCACATAATGAAAGTGTCCACTAATTCTTACACCTCAACTTTACAGACTTTCAGAATGTGTCAGTCATGCACCCTAAGGAGTGTGTACTAAACCTTCTTTATCAACCTCATTCACATTTCAAAAGCCCTTCGAAGTAAAGACAAGTCTCCCTACTATCACATCCACGATAATCCTGTTTATGTTCAGCTGGATCATTCAGTAACTGACCATGGAGACAGAGAGAGAGAGGGGGAGGGAGAAGACGTACATACACTAAACTGACACAAAACAAAATCAACCATAAGACAATCTGTCTTCCGACGATGATCTATGCCCAGCGTACAGACGTCTGTGTGTGTGTTGTACAACACACATACACACTGGTTAAGTCGATGTGGATTCTCTGTTAAAAGTCGAACACACCTTTATGCACTGACTTCATAAAAACATGGAACAAAGATAAAACAGATAAAATGAATAAATATTTATTTATTTATATATTTATTGGTAATATCATTAAACGCATAGGAAGAGAGAGAAATGAAAAAGAGAAGAACCACTAACAGCAGAAATAACAGTAGTAGTTGTTGTTTGTTGTTGTCAGGGTGATCGTATAGTCTTTTATTTGCATTATCGATCATGTAAATAAGATTAATAATAATAATAATAATTAGTTAAAATCATAGTATAATTGTAAATATGACTAGGAAAAACTTCTGTTGAATTTAAAAAAAATTAAATTAAAAGAAACGAATAGGTGAAGTACAAAAAAAAACAACAATAGCAACATCAAAAAAACGAAATTACAATGCTCAATAAATTAATAGTTCAATATACACAGAATTTCACTAGCTGATAGATAGATTAATACTACTACAAATGGTAGTATTATGAAGCCTTATAGAAAAAACGACATTGTTAGTAGTATATGCTAAACCAGAGGAAAAATGAGAAAGAGTAAGATGTGGAAAAGGCAAGAGGCAGACAGGTTGACCGGAGGGAGGATAAACACACAGCCGCACGCACAAAATATTCAAAAACAAGCAAACAAACAGCCATATCCAGAGAAGAAAAACACTGCCTCCACGCTTTTGACTGACAACAACACATTCGGTGATTCAATTTTGAAAAAAAAAACACACAAAACAACTAAGATATAACTATAAATGGTAAAAAATCTTCCTAGAACAATACAACTATTATCATTATTCAAATAAGCACAGACGTAAACCTATTCTCAAGAAAAGAAAATATTTATTTAAAATAATATATTACTAACAAATTTAGATAAGTAGTATAAAGAGTTAAAGTGGTTATTTTTGTTTGTAAAATAAAAGCCTAATAATAATGAATATTTAGTAGTCAAAATAACCCCCACCTCCCCGTGCCACTACCGCCACCAACAGGAGAGAGAGAGAGAGAGAGAGGAGAAATGTGCAATAATGAGAGTTCTAAGACAATCTTTGTATGAGGTGGATGTGTAACACAATCCATCGACCTACTGTCTATCTCTCCCGTGTGGTGAGTGAAGAATGGATAAGGGGGATTTAAAATACACAAATGATAGTGAGAAGAACAACACATATAAATATAAGAAAATGCTTTCTGATAATTACCCATAGGTAGCTAGAAATGAAGGTTATATATATAGGCTAAAAGTGAAATGATCCTAGATACGCTTAGTAATAATAATCATAATAATAACAACAGTAAGAGTACTATTCATGCAGGCATATTTCACACCAGAAAGAAATAAAGAACCCATCATAGAAATGAGTAAGCCCCTCTCCTATTTTGAAATCAAAAATGAATAAGGTCAACCAACACTCACAGGGTGTTAAAAGAGAGAAAAACCAGAAAAATATAGACAAGATATTCTAAATAGTCATATTATGTAAACCTTAGAAAATTTCTTTCTCACATAAATTCAGCCTAGTTATAGTAGTAAAAAAAATACGTGCATAATTTCAAGGAAAGGTAAGATACTACTAATTTCGCCTAGTTTTATCGATACATACGTAGAAATACATTTAGAGATAGAGAGTTAGTGAAGTATTTTCTCCGTCATACATCCACAATCACACACACACACACACAAAGATTAAAAAAAGCAAGAAAGCAATAAGTAAATTGAAAAAAGGAAACTTTCCCATTGACAAAAAAAGATGATGATGATGGAAATAAGAATAATAATGAAAGTTACAGAGAAATAAAGAACCCCCCACCGCGTTCCTACAGAAAATCACAATTTTGTGTTTAGTTAGCTAGCTAGCTGCCCTATGGAGTGTGGTGGTGAGTTGTTGTGCTCACTTGTACACAAATTTTGATAAAAATCTAAGAAAAACAAATAATAAAACACACCTGACAAAAAAACACTGTTTGTTGTTTATGGCTTAATTGAGAAATAACAAAGATAAGGTGTGTGTGTGTGTGGGTGTATACAAACACGCCCGCACAAACACACACAAACACAATGCAGTTATTAGTAAGGGAATAAGTAGTACCTGACACAACAAGAGAATTATTAACACTAGCAACAATAGAAAAAAAGCACAAAGTTGAATTCCTAAGATATGAATGAGTGAGTGAATAGTGTGCGCAAAGAGTGGTAAACATTGGGAGAAAGAGACAGCAAGAGAGAGAGAGAGAGTAACCCCTCCCCTCCCACACACACATACAGACAATTGTACACATTTATATACATACATATTACACATAATAAGTGATAGAAAGATGTGCGTGCAGTAATAATATAATAATAATATAAGGTAGATATATTCTTCTTCTGAAAGATAGTAGGTAATAATAATAATAGATATTTCCCTAACAGTTTTTAAATCAATTTACTGGTTTAAAAAGTAGTTTAAAAGCCCCACCCGCCAGAAAAAATGAAAAAAAAATCAAAGAATAAATACAAATTTCAATTGGAGGAGAATAAACAACAACAACAAAGAAAAAATGCCTAAGAGGAAAGAGGAGTTGACGGTGATAGGATACTCTGTTTCTATTTCACAATAGAAGATGTGGATAAGGGAAACAATCCCGGTGAAGTTGTTATCTCTGAATATTTCAGCACAGCGCTTGTTGTTGTTGGTATTGTTGTAGGATAATAAGGATTATTGGTGTTGGAGTGGATGGTAACAGAAGTAACCGGATAGGGTGTAGTACTTGTAGAAGGCCGAGCAGCACTAGGAGTACTACTACTACCAGTAGTAGTTTGAGAAGTCGGGGTAGGAGGAGGATGAGCAGCAGACGACAGTACAGTCGGCTGATGATCATGTGATGAATATAAGATTGGTGGTAAATATTTTATTTCATCATTTTCTACTGCTACAAGTTGAGGAATACCACTGTTGTCGTCCTTACACAGTCCACTTGATGTAATAACAACAGGCGTCGATAGAACGACACCTAATCCATTCATACAATTAGCAGTAGTATTAATAATCGGTGTAGTTGTATTTGAATTATTTCTGTTGTCATCATTATTATTATTAGTAGTAGTAGGAGTACTATGTGACGGTGAAAAGCAGACATTTACTTCATTTCGATCAAGACTGAACGAACAATCTGTTGCAATACTAGACTCATCTAATGAAATTGGCGATAATGTTGGTGGACTTAAATTGTTATTATTATTATTGTTGTTATTACTAATTTGTGAACAGGAAATATCACGATAAGAATTTAATGGAGAAGACGATGACGACAAGGCAGTAGGCGATGAACAATGTGCTGGTAATACACAAGAATGATTATTATTATTTCTAGGGAATTTCGATGACAACCAATCTCCGTCTTCTCCGCCTTCTTCTTTTTCTTCATAAGCACCATCACCATGATGGACATCGCCGTTGGCAATACCATTAATAGTATTATTATGATGATTAATTATTAAAGCGTCAGTGGTAGTAACTGGATCCCAATGTCGTTTACGCGGAGGTAAATTGAACTGATGACTATAATCAATAGGATTAGAATGGACACTTTTCTGAGGACTGTGATGGTGATGATGCCGATTGGAACTATGTCGATGATGATGGCGACGATGACGTGAAACAGGAGAGTTAGGTACATTGTTACCGTTACCACTAGTATCAATCGAAGCAGTAGTATAATTATTCATTGATGATGATGATAGCCCAGGTGCTGGACGTGAAAATTCATCAAGAATTAAATCTTGTACAGAAGCATGCATTGATTTACTCGGATGCAAATGATTGATTTTATTACTGTGTGACGATACATCAAAATATGTTCTTGGCGTGTAATAACAGGTACTATTACTATTGATTTCTGGAAGCAATGAAGGAATGCTTTGATTGACAGGATCATTCTTATCTGTAAGACGACGTCTAGGTTGATACGATAAAGAAGATGAGGAGGACAAGGAGGAGGGAACAGTAATCGAAGAGGATGTATCGATAGAAAAGGTTGAAGAAGATGAAGAGGGACAACTGACTTGACGGATATCAGAAGGAATATGCATTGGAAGTAAAGGCGGAGGTGGAGGTATATTTGTTTGTTGAATAGACCTATGATTACTATTACTTTTATCCTTTATCATCATATTGCTACTCATCATAACAGTATTACTAATATCACAACCAGAAACAGCAGTATTACTGACAGTTCCGACAGCAGTCGACATCGTTGTTGTTGGTGGTGGTGGTATCGTCGTCATTGTTGGCATTGTCGGAGAATACGAACTAACTGCCTGAAGAGTTTTTAACAGAACTGGTGCATCGATATTACTTTTATTAGACGGTAGTAAAGGTGATACAGTTGTTGATGGAGTAGACCGACTATGAACAGATGAATATTGAAGTGTATCATGCGGAAGGATTAATGCATTCGACTGAAGGATATGACCACTACTATGAATAGTACTGCCACTAGAACACAAGGATACTTTAGTCAATGATGGAGGCGGGGGTATTATTGATGAACTACCACTGCCACTACCACTAACATTACTATGACTATTCAACAATGGAGTAGGAAATCCATGCAGTGCAGAACGAGTAGTAGTAGTAGTACTACTGCTACTGGTACTACTGATAATGCTATTAGTAGTATTACTCATACTAGTTGTAGTCATAAAGTATGAGGCATTTGATGTATCATAATAACACAGACCACTATTTCGCCTAGACTGATTCATTCTACCATCAGGAATGACGGCGTTGTTACAAGTCGTCTTATTCATTGAATTGTGTTGAATAAAATTATCCGATTTGTTGGCTGTTGCAACTGCCAATAAACGCGCAGCCTCAATTTGATGTCGTTTCACCAATTCTTGATTAGCTGCTGTTAGCTCAGAAATCTAAAGGGGAGAAATAAAAGCGAAAAAGTGATGATGATGATAATAATAATAGGATGGATAGACACAATTGTATAACGCCAGACTGATGTAAAACTTTAAGAAAATCTAATTTGTGTGCATGAGGGAATAGACGAAAACATAGGCCAACTACCATGTGAATCGTACTTAGTAGTCACCGCTTTGTTCTTCTTTACAAATGTAAGACACAACAAGGTAAAAGAAAGTGGGAGATATAGGCAGAGGCTAGTCATCTTTGGTTACAAGCGTTTGCATTCTATCTCTTGTGTAAGACAGTAAAATATGCAAGTGTTGGTTTGCAGAGATTTGATTGGTGGTTACATGATTCCATCATGAACTGAAATCGGTTAGAGAGCCGTTAGAAAACCAGCACTCGAGTGTACTGGACAACCAGTTGTCTCGCGTCAGCTTAGTTTGGGACTAACTCTTCAGTAGGAAACACCCATCCCCCCACTGCTACGGTTCGAAGCCAGGACCTACTAGTTAGAGGCCCGGTGAGCTCACAGACCATCAAACCACTCGGGCCCGACTCCTCACTGGCCATGCCATAAGTCCAAACTTTTGACAATCAACATACGATATAGCGTGGCTGGTGCAAGCCAATATCATTGCTGGAGAGTACACGTCCTCACAATCGACCTGCTGTATCCATCCCACTGGTCAAAACTTCTCACTAGAGCCCACTCAAATAACTACCTGCCTGTGGTCGTTAGTGATACTTGCTAGTGACTGGCTACAGTACGAAGTTGCTTGGAATTCCAGTACAGATTTGTGACCAGCGGGGTTCACGCAGTCAGGATGAAGTCCTGTCGATAGCATTGGTTGGTGGTCGCACTAAAATCACGAATTGATAGAAGTTAGAATTCATGGGTTGGTCATTGGCTGAATGGTACAGGAGCTGGCCGGAAGCTCCTGTGTTCAAAACCCAATGGTGCGTACTGCCGATGAGACGCAAGCTGATATCAATCCGTAGTCTAAGCTGAAACAAACAGATTCCCTACAAACTAATTCTTAGATAAAGCAATAAGAAGACTTAATTTGTCAGAATCGTGTAGGCAATGTATTTGCGCAACACATTTCGAACAATCTGATCACACTTCACGGACTTGTCATAGGAATGTGTAAATATGAAATTATTAAAGAGGTAAGAGGTGAGAAATTAGACTTAGGTCAAGTTAAAAGGTTATATTCAAGGTCAAAATAACAATGAAGATCATCGCTAAACCAAATAGCAGAGGTAATAGTACGTACATGTACTATGGTATCAAAACAAAATTTACCAAGGAAGGTTTAATGTGATGACGAATTGTTTTTGAACGCATAAAGGTGGCTTAAACTTTCTAATTGCCAGATAGGGCTTCCACAAACTTAAGGATACGCCCTACCACAAACACATTTTATAGATAGGTTTAAAAGATGTGTTAATGTCAATTTGATGTCCTGTCTCCCCTATAATATGTTTCGCAATAGAAGAGCTAGGTCTCCTGTTCTCACCGTTAATAGGTTCTAAAGATTCCATTTTTTTCTGGAGCCATTTAGGAATATCTATAAAATGTGTTTGTGGTAGGGCGTATCCTTAAGTTTGTGGAAGCCCTATCTGGCAATTAGAAAGTTTAAGCCACCTTTATGCGTTCAAAAACAATTCGTCATCACATTAAACCTTCCTTGGTAAATTTTGTTTTGATACCATAGTACATGTACGTACTATTACCTCTGCTATTTGGTTTAGTGATGATCTTCATTGTTATTTTGACCTTGAATGTAACCTTTTAACTTGACCTAAGTCTAATTTCTCACCTCTTATCTCTTTATTAATTTCATATATACACATTCCTATGACAAGTCCGTAAAGTGTGATCAGATTGTTCGAAATGTGTTGCGCAAATACATTGCCTACACGATTCTGACAAATTAAGTCTTCTTATTGCTTTATCTAAATTCATAGAGGGAACTATTTGTTTTAAACTAATTCTTGAAAATCCTTAAAATCCCGAAATCTGGAAAAATGTTCCTAGGATAAATGTCTCAGAACTATCAAATGAAACATCGTAGACGATGTGGGGGGGGCGCTGTCCCCTGTGTTTACATGAAGTGGCTGCTCATTTTAACGACACTGCTTGACGATGGTATAGGTGTGAATAGTCAACAGATTCGCCTCCCAGTTAGGTAGTGGTGGGTGCACACACTGATGAAGCACGCCTCAGAATATGTATGACGTAACAAATGTGGAGTACTTCCTCGGCTTTATTCATCTTCAAAACTGATGACGGCATCTACATTGAAAATATAATTAAATTATCAAATGAAGAAATCTTATCAATTCAGTATTTACTCTATGAGAATGAATATGGATACACATATGACTTGTGAGAAAAAAAATTCATATACGAACATGTGCCAGCAGAAAAATCATCCTACTGAAACAGGCGCATCTCACACGATAGACACATATACGAAGGAAGATAAAATAGGCAAATAAAGGCAATACATGTGATGCAATAATATTTCTAATTGCGTATTGCCTTGATTTACGGAATTTTACGTGAATAAAAAAAAATAGCGGAGTATGAAGTGGAAGGAGGTGGGTGTGAATGGGGAAATTAACGACTCAATAGACAAACAGATAATGAAGAAAATGATGACGTAATAAAAATCAGTGTCACGTCACTGAAAACGCGTGGGAGAGATAACATTATCAGCACATGAATGGATTTGAGATGTATGAATATAATAGTGCCTATGGTTGTGACTGATTCCACACACACATATGAACTGTCATCTGAATTGATAACAACCAGTGGTGTCCGACAGGGATGTCCACTCTCCCCATTTCTGTTTAACTTCATCATAGATATGCTGATGGAAGTATCCTTAACTGAACTTAACGACTTAGGAATCGACTTGTTACCAGGGAATAGTCCTTTGAACTTAGAATATGCAAATGACATAGACCTGTTAGGGGAGGATGATGACAAAATGCAGGGTCTTCTGAACACCTTGAGCAGCAATCTCCGTATGTTTGACATGGGATTCACCCCTGTGAAATGTAAGATGCTGCTACAGGACTGGACTACGTCAACTCCTAACTTAGTGATAGGGAGTGAAGTGCATGTGAAGAACATGTTGACCACTTCACCTATTTGGGAAGTTGTATCAGCACCAACGGACTGATTGGCGACGAAATCTCAGCACAGATCCAAAAAGCTCGAGCTGCTTTCGCTGACTTACACCATCTCTGGCGTAGGCGTGACATCCGGTTATCAACCAAGGGACGTGTGTACTGCTCAGAAGTTCGCTCCGTCCTCGTCTATGGCTCTGAAACATAGCCAATACGCGTTGAAGACATGAAAAGGTTGACTGCTTTCGATCATAGATGTCTGCGATCTCTTTCTCATGTTAGGTGGTATAATAAGGTAAGTAATGCTGACGTTAGGCGTAGAGTGTTGGGCAAAGAGGGAAAATCAATCGACGAGGCTATAAAGTTGCATAGATTGAGATGGCTAGGTCACGTGCTGCGCACGCCTAACCATCGCCTCCCCCAACGACGGGCATTACTAGCTGATATAGGTGCAGGTTGGAAAAGAGCCAGTGGTGGCCAAACAAAAACATGGCCTCATCAATCCATGAAATCCTTGACAGTTAAACTGAGTCAGGTAGGGAGATGCAGACTCCCGGGTTGGGGACCTCGGGACTGACTCTAGGAATCAATGGCTGGAGACAATAGGTGACATGGCTCAAAATCGTTGTCAATGACCAGCGCAGATGTATTCAGTCTCTGTAATCTTTCATATTTCTTTCTACCATTACCCATTTTGTTTCACTCTTATACTTGTCAAACTGTATTGATTCTCTTCACTCATTTTTTTGTCTGCCATTGCGTGCTATTTGTAACGTGGCAAATCGAACTGGTGCACTTCGGTGCCAAGTTCTATGTTGAATCCAGACAGACAGAGACAGACACATATGAAACAACTGCCTACTATGCCATCTATCCATACCTGCAACAAACGTTTAACAGTGTAATAAAACTCTGAACTCCAAAGCTTCTCTTTTCTCTACTTTTAGTAACCTTCTTCATATAAATTAGTGACACGTTCCAATTAATTTGAAATCCTACACATATACTGATGTTAAAGAATTTAGGTAGGCAGCTGTCGTCGGCATGTATGACAGATACGAAGTTAATACTAAATTTAGTACAGTAACAAAAATACATACAAAATTATACGAATCATAATAGATCGGTCTACTTGTTCAACACGGTAATTACCAATTAAGTAGGTAACCAGTCAAATCAAATCCCTGCGAGCCAACACTTGAATATCAACCTGATGTTCACTAGCGACTACTAATCCTATTCAGGTGGATAGCTACATCAGTGGGTTCTAGTGGGAAATCGTAACCGGTGTGGGAAAACAGCAGGTCAGGTGTGAGGACAGATCCACTCCAACGATGACATTGGCTTATGCCAGTCGAGTAGCATATTCGCCAGCGATTGTGATTTTTAGCCATATATGGTAACGTTTCGGGCCACTGATTCGAACTATCGCTTGGACACCCCAACCAGGGAGTCATGATTCACCAATTGATGCTAACCTTACACACAAATATCCTTCATTCCACGACACCACATCATGGGTTGACCCCACCTCTCCGTTGTTTTTCATCCCGTTCCAGGGTTAGCGAAAACAGTCCAGTACGGAAGCCTCTGGAATGAAATTCGTAGTATATTTCCAAGCTATCGAAGCCACAGTCCTCAGACGACGATAGTCCATTAATGATGATCTCCACTGTGTACAGACACACGCCATCATACCTCAGAATTATTCATACGATGATGCCATAGAACGTAAGCAATTCTGCCAAGACAGTGATGGTTGGATACGTAGAGTCGCCGCATATTCTCAGCTCGGAGAAGCCAGGTTCCACAGGCGCAGGGCAAGACAGCGTGCACCAAAGGATTGTAAACCAAACCTTTGAAAGCCAGACTAACTTCCCAACGGTGCCAGACGAAAGGTGGCTCAAGTTGGTGTGTAACACCCTAACTTTCATAATACGGTTGAAAATATCGTCCGTCACGCCTCCGCCAGCACTCACACAACTACCCAGACACACGAACTTGCAAAAAACTTCAAGCGGTTCACCTACAAGAGTGAGTGCAGGTACCGGCTCCTACCAAAGCACATACCATAGTTACAGACACTGGTTGCCAACTGACTAAATACGGTTTTGGCAGCCTGTATGATATCGCACAGTAAGACGACATCATCTGTATACTCGAGGTGGAAAAGTCTTCCTCCAGGAAGCAGATTTACAACAACGCCACGTATGTTCTTCTTCCATGGTAAAGATAAATAGAGAGGCTGGGCAACCCTCTCTAGTTGTATGCCCACACACTCTAACAGAGGTATTTCTGTATAGAACTTCTAGGATGTTAACAAACCTCTCAGGCCTAAAAGACAATTCCAAAGAATCGATCTGTCCAACAAACCGAAGGCAGATCTAATATCAAGAAACACAATAATTGTTGACCTGAAATACGTGAGACGGTGTTCCAACAACTGATGATGGAGGTGATATGTATCCATATATATGTGTGTATGGTGGTCTCTCTTTCTGTTGCTCCCTTGGTCTGTGACCATTTCACTTTGATGAACCTGTCTCCTCTAACAATGTATATTCCCCTTATATTATATATAATATGTGTGTTTGTTTGACAGTCTGTTATATTTCGTTATGTATATATGGATCGATATTCCATTATAATTAGCCAATCATGTTAAGACTGTCTATTGATTTGTTCACTTTGAATATTCGTTCACACACTTGTTCGGACATTGATATTTTGCTCTCACACTCTTGTGTGACATTGATTCTCCTTGTGTTTGGAAAATAGAAGTATCATCGCAAACCTAGTGGTCTTCTGATTTCCGTCTTCCTTGCATCAGGACTATTAAATTCTCGACCAGTACATAACAATAATTTGGCGACGAGTACATAACAGGAGGGAACACACATGATCAATGTATTTATTTCTTCTCACTTTACTCACTAATGCACATTAAGAATTAGGTAATCACATAAATGCATATTTAAGCATAGTAAGTAAACTACACTTACTTGTTTCCGAAATTCGGCAATTTTCTCCTCTAAAGCATGATGATGTTTAATTAGCCTTCTAGCTTGAGCGAAAAATGCTGCCGGTGTAGTTATCAGTATACCAAGCTGTTCATTTTAATTAAATGAGAAATGAAAAGAAGAATAAAAAGAAAAATTTAAATGGGCTGACTAACAGAATATGATACACACACACACATCGGAATTAAAATTAATGATTAATCTTGAAGAAAAGAAAATATATGGACTGTATCCTAGAAATAAATACTCCGATTAAACAAAGGAGAAATGACGTGCCAATATGTGAACGTGACTAGAATTCCCTTTCCCAATGACAAAACAGTTAACATGTGTGACCTCATCAGAGTGTTATCATTATTTTTTTACGAGTTGATCACGGATTGATGTCATCATCAGTTAGAGAACCATTGAAAACTAGCCAGGGAGTACTGCCAGACAGTTGTTTCATCAGCCTAGTTTGGGAATCATCTCCGCAGTACGCACCCACCGTCAGGGTTCGAATCCAGAACCTGACGGTGACAAGGCAAGCTTGTATACCATTCAGTAACCCACTGAAACCCGATTGAATGCCCCATGAATTCTGACTTCTGTTATTATTATTATTATTATCATGACATGAATCACTATCAGGAAGAAACAAAAGCTACTATTAAAACTAACTGACTTCTACGCGAGTTTACAAATTTTAAAGGATACCCCCCCCCCATTTTTCAACAAGAAAATCCATCAGTATTTTATTCTCCTCCTCTAAAACATCAGCTGAATTCTCTTTAATAAATGCTTCACCAAGCCTCTCTTATACTGTAATGGACAGAAGCTGTAAAAATCAAGATGTTGCCCTGTTTCAAGCAGGTTTTCCGCAAATTGATTGGTTACTTGAACCATCTTCTCTTCGACTTAGAAATATGTCTAAAAATGCAAGTTGCTTGCAATTTTTTTCCTCGTATGTGAGACTTATATGATTTTGTACGGAGTGGATGGAGTCTATCCAGTATAGATAACTTGCATCTTTATGATTATTGCATAGCAAAATAATATCATCTACATATCGCCTATAGAAAGGCACTTAAGCAATTAAATCAAGGGACAAGTTTTCAATGTAGGACATATAACCCATCCACCAACAAGTCTACTAATGGGCTCCTCATAGCAACGTCATCGACTTGTGGAAAGTGCTAACCTTCAAATGTGAAACGGACGTTGTCAGTGCATAATAATGATAATAATAAATCTTTAAAATAAGTCAAAGGAAAAGGGAATGAAAAACAACTAGAAGATATTTTTTTATTCCTTCACGTTCCCAGTGGAACATAGGGCTTTAAGCTAGAGGCTTGAAGTTTCTGTAGTAGTGGTGATTATTTTTACAGGATGGGGTCGCTAGCTTCACACCCAACCTCCCCTGTTTACCAGTGTTATTGCCGGCCAACCGAGGTGAAGGAGTGCGTCGGCCAGGGATCGAACCCCAAACCATCTGCGTTGTTGGCGAGCATTTTACCGCTGTGCCACCCGACACACAAGATATAAATTGTCACACATAATATCAAGTCTTAATCAGTGCTACTATTAGTTAACAAGGAATACATTTTCATATCTTTTATACGTTATGTCCACAAAAAACAGTCAACAAGTTGAAATGTATCTATCTTACAAAGAGAACTCAGATAATTCCTTGTGTACTGTGTGCTTAAAATATCAGCTAACCATTTTGTTAATTTATGTGTAGGAGAGTGACACATTGATAAAAATGGACTTAATAGACTGTCAACCTTATGAATCTCTTGGGTAATCCATAAAGGTTTGTTAAGTCAGATCCAATGGGTCTCAATGAATTAAAGTCTTGATAAGGATAAGAGAATAAAATACTGATGGATAATCTTGTTAAAAACGGATATCCTTATAAAAATTTTTAAACCGGCGAAGAAGTCAGTTAGTTTTAAAACCTACAATATATTCTGACCCTAAGAAAGAGAGTATTTTTACTGAATTTTCACATATTTAAGTGGTGTGGGAGAATCTCTCTTTGTTCACAGTGTTCCTTCTCAGTGAAACAACACAGGGCTTTTGAAGTTCCATTAGCGGAGGTGCCCGTTTAACAGTCTTCCATAGGCCTTTCATAGACTTACTACTACCAAGTGGCAGATCATGGGAGGCTTTAGGAGTGTGTCGACCTGGAATCACCCCTGGACCATGTGAATTTTGAACGAACTACTGACGCGCGAGCGTTATTCACCACTAAGGCCAATGTAACCACATCAGCATTTACTACCCATAAATCATCATTGTTGTTCAAATGTCGATTTGTTTGAAATTCAACGTAGATCACGAACAGACATCAACACTAAGAAAGAGCCATTGGAAACCAAGGTTTGTACTCAAGACTTGTTTCGTCCTATAGTTGGAGAATTTCTCACCAGTCCGATAAACTCGTGAGGAGAGTCTAAAATAAAAGGAAACAACTTTTCAGCACTCCAGGTTTTCAATGATTCCCTATATGAAGTCGTTCAGGGAAATAATTAACCTCTCGTTTAAATATCAATCGCGATGGGTAATGCAATTACCGAATCGAAAATTTTGTGTGTGTGTGTGCCTCACTGGTGTCAACATAGAACTATGAACAGATGTGGACCAGTTCCACCTGTCACTCTCCTTTCATGTACCATACAAAGCAATAGAAGACATTAAAGACCGATTTATCAAAAGGGAGAGAGAGAGAGAGGGGATAAACAGAAGTATGACGGGAAAACAACAGCAATATGGAAGAACAATAGACTTTTATTGGATATGACTGACAAACGACAAAGAGTGAATGCATGTATCTCCTCTGTCACTGACAACAATTTTGAGCCATATCACCCAATTGTCTCCAACAGTCATTGGTTCTTACCACCCAAAGAACTCAAACCAGACTGGTAGTCTAAACGTCTTTACGTGGCTTAAACTAACTGTTACTGACAATAGGCTGAGGGTCCCGTAAGCAAACTCCTACTGCTGGCGAACAGGTGTATAACAACAGTAACGTGTTTCCTCATTCAAATGACCAGCATATCAACCACCCACACCACACTCTGGAGAGAAGCACTACCAAAGGTCCACCCAAAAAATCCCACATCCCGACTTACTCTACCCACGGTGATCCATCCGTAACCAGTGATAAGTTACTAATACGGAAGAAAACCTAAAAGGCAGTTCAAACAGGTCTCAAGCAGTTGTCCATTGAGTTCTGTGGTCATGCGTAACACTAAATATTTTTCTGTTTCACCTACCCCAAGAGAAAATCAACTTTCACGGTGTGGGCAGATTAGAAAGTAACAATCGCCTACAACACTTCCAAGCCCACCTGATCATCATTCGTGTGTGTGTAAGTAGAATGACAATTTATGTGATAAATGAAGCATCAAATAAAAAGAGTGAAAAGAAATGGAGAAAAGATTGATGATAATAGTGTCAAAAACAAGCTTTTTTTCTAAAATAAGAACAGAATTACACCGCCTCCAGTGGTTATATGATATCTTCAAAATGACTGTGCACGTATTGCATAACACAATATACCACCGAGGCATGTGTGATTATTCATCCCTACTAATAACAGTAATAGATCTAAGAAAATTATGTCATAGCATATGACATATATATATATATATATATATATATATATATATATATATATATACACGCCACACGCACACCCACACACCTACGCAAAAACAGTAATGGATGAGTGTATGTCCATAGAAATCGTAAAGCGGAAGGGAAATAGATACACGTCATAATAGATATATGAAGCACAATTTATCACATCACATCACACCACACAAATTTGTGATTGCATAATATGCTTTAATGATGAGTCATCAGTCATTTGTTTAAGTGTAAAACTTATTTTTCCTATTCAAGTATTGGTTTGCAAAGATTTGATTATTTACAGGATTTCATCATGAGCTGACATTGGTCAGGGGACCATTGGATAACCACTAGGGAGTACTGGACAGCTGTTTCGTCAGCTTAATTTGAAGATCTTCAGTAGTGCACATTCAGCCCCCATTGATAGGGTCCGAATACACAACCTTCCGATTACAAAGCGAGCCTCCAAAGCCTCAGGATGGTTGGGGGGGGGTGTCTTGCGCTGCGGGTCGGCCACCCCTTCGTACACCTCTTGAAATGCTCCCATATGACCGGGTGTCTTACATAGCCTCTCCTGAGGAAGTCCTACTCACTGCCTTCACGTGGCGGAGGTGTTTTTCACCAAAGTGAGAGGGAAAAAGCGGATGCCCGGCGCTCTTCACCGGGTTGACTGTCCATTGGATGACAGTCTAGGGGAGATGGCTAAACCCTGATTACAAACCTTCAACGACTGGCGTATGAAGCTCACCGGCAGACGTATGGACAAAGGGCTTGTTGGATGTCTGGCCCCATTCAAAAAGGCGTATGAACCGAACTCCGGTCACCGGCTGCCAATGGATAGTGGACTCCTTACTCCACTCCTACTGCCTTGTAGGTCACACTTGGCTGTTTAAAGGCTAGAGCTGCACTCTTAAACAAAAGGCCGAGCGATGCTGGGGACATCAGTCGTACCTAATTCCCATGAAACTTCATCAACTCTCTTACAAACATTCGAGATGTTCATGAAGCCGGTTCATCCTCTCGTAGGAGATAGCCGAAGTAAAGTAAAGTAAGATTACAAAGCGAGAGAGTTCGTGGACCATTCATCCGCTGGAAACCACCAATCCGATGGTCAGCCAGTCCATGAAGTCTAACTTCTGCCAATTCACGTACCAGCCACCCGTTAAATGACAGAGAAGGATTCTTCAACGCTGGCTTTGTGGCCAGTTTGGACCAGACGGTCTAATATCGAACTGTTGATGGGTTTTACTAAACCTTTACTTACCCATACTGGGAGATGTTCTCGAGCACGAAAAATCAAGTTCCTAGAGTTCATTATTAGTATGAATGCTGTAGAACCTGATGACGAGCAGGTTATTTTTATTTTCAAAAGATTGATTACTACTGAACAATGATTATTCCTTTCGATAACCTGCTCTTCACCAGGTTCTACGGTATCCATACTAATAATGAGGGAATTAGGCTTATTAACAACATTAATATGTTACTTAAATAACATCGCATCAATCAATAACATGAATTGATTACAGTTCAATAGCATCTGTGTAAGCGTGATAATGTGCATCATCATAACATAGCACTAATTTTTTTCTATTACAGCTTGATTCCACACCATATTTTTCATACAAGTATGAAATTTTCTGCATGTGATATCGGTAGCCCAAATTTTACAGGCCGACCATTGATATCAGGTATGCGTCGGCAAATTAGGAAAAACAATAATACAGAATTCATAGGCTCAACAGAAGGCCGGCCAGGGCAGTAGTGGTGTCTAGCTGGACCTGTTTCCTCTGCATACAGAGCACTATATTTTTTAGGCGAATCGCAGTAGCCTCTCCTGTTTGGGATTTTCGGTACCTGGATACTTTTGGCAATGCATCTGGTAGCCGATAGATGATAATGCAGAAGGATTCTTTAATGCTAGCTGGCTTAGTGACCAGTCACTTTGAACACACACATCATCAAGCTGTTGATGATGTGTTCCATTAGACCTTTATTCAGCCACACACACACCCCACACTGGTTGGTGTTCCCGAAAGCGCAAGAAAAATTAAGTTCGTAGGCCAACAGCTAATATATCTAGCTCCACCACAAGCTCATTCGAACTGATAGGCATCAGAAGAGGTAGGAATCACAACGGGTTGTGTAGAAAACATGACTTGTAGTTTACGAGCATTACAAGTTCTTTGATGATTATTTTACTAGATGTCACCTTTGAATTGTAGACGTATATACGAAGGCTTCTCATTTACAGACAAAGAACAGTCCTTTTCTGCTTTCTTAGTCATGTGTTTCCCGATCAACTTTTGTGGATAGCTATTTCTAAGTATTATTATTATTGTTTCCTTTAATTTCTAGAGGAACATATGGCTTCAACGGGACGTCTCAATTGCGATCGGTTCTCTGCCAACGTGTTTTCACCTGACTCCACGTCTTTCAACATACTTTCACCTCCTCCTTGATATCATCCTCGCACTGATAACCAACTGACTCACTACTTCCCATTCGGCCTCCACTTGATCTATGGCCTGGTGTGTGATGTCACTCACTTGATGATTTGTTTTCTCAGAGTATGGACCCCAATCCACCTCCATTTCTTCCTGCATCTTTGCTGCACAATTGGTTCGTTCATTGCCAGAGATTCGTGTTGCTGATGTTTTCTTGCTGTCCATCTGATCTTGAGTATTGAGCAAAGACAGCTGTTGATACACAGACACGCACTCACACACACACACACACTTAAAAGTGTTGCAACAACATTAGGAATTAAAAGTATCTATGGTTATTTCGATTGGACAGTAGTCAGTAACTGATACGACGTGTCTAGTCCTTTCTTTGGTGCAGACTGAATTCCATCATTCAGGTGGTGGCCGTATTGCAAACCTGACTGATAGAATTCAGTCCGCAACAAAGAAAGAACTAGACACGTCACACTAGTTACTGACTACTGTCCAATCAAAATACCCACTACAGTCTTACAGGAGGTCAATTGCGAGCCGGAATAGCTCAGTAGTAATTTATCTGACCGACTGCAGGGCTGGGTGGTGGTAGGGGTGCGAATCTCAGAAGGGATATGAGTTCCTTCAAGGCGCTTGGAGATACGCCTTGTTGACTGACTGGATTGGTGAGTGCCAACTAGCACGAAACCTAGGTCAGGTAAGGCTTCCTATAGCCGATTGCCTCCAACTATCTAATAGTAACCATGATTTTTAAGCAACATTGAAAGTCTTTCTTTAGCGTAACAGTTACACACACACACACACAACACAAAGCCGACCTAACCCAGAAAACAGAATTAAACAACACCACTCCTGATTACATAAATACATGAATGAATTATTATGATTATTACCCAACGAAAGAAGAAGGAAAAGAAAGACGCCAGAGAACAAAAACCAAACAAAAACAAAAACGTACGCGTTTTGTAAAACGATTCAATAATTCTGCACCGTCTGTATGCAACTTTGCTATTGACTGTTCTAAAACTTTAATATGCTTTAATAATTCAGTTTGTCGATTACGTTCACGTTCTAGTTCAGATTGTATCGTTGATGAATAAGCAGGTGATTGTAGCATAGCAAAATGATCCATAAATACTTGTTTTGTTAATTCTGAAACAACGAAAACGGAAAAAAACGAATAAAATTAAAAAATAGAATAGGAAATGGGGGGGAGGGAGAGAAGAGATGGAACAATGATATATAAAAATGAATATGATGGGAAAAATAAGAAATTATCAGTTAAAATCTTTAATTTCTCACAATGTACTTTTCACACCAACTGAGCCAATTTGAAATTTTTTTGGGCGTATATATTAATATATATGAAGCGTTGGTTTGGAGAAATTTGATTGGTCACACGACTGATTACCAACCGACATCAGTTAGAAAACTACTGGAAAACGCCTCTGAGAAGTACTGGACAGTTGTTTGGAACTCTGCGACAGTATGCACCTAAGGGGGGGGGTTCGAACCCAGGACCATCCAACAGAATGGTCTACCAGCTCGCCTTGTAAACGATACGTCCTGGGTTTGAACTTAAGTAGGTGGATGCGTACTGTTGAAGAGTTCTACACCGGTTCGAAACGACTGTCCAGTACTCCTCAGAGATTTTCTAATGGTTCTCCAACTCATGTCAGCTCGTGTAGCCAATCAAATCTCTGCAAACCAACAATTTATAATTAATTTGATGTTAACTGGCGACTGGTTCAATGCAGGAAGTAACCTGAGGTCGTAGTGGGAAGTTGTAGCCGGGAGGGTTGGTTCCTCGAGTCAGACACAAGGACAATTACTCACCTGTGACACTGGCGTGTCATCCCGAAGGCCCATGCCAACCACACTGCCAGTCAAGCAGTTTAAACCTCCTTCCCTATGTGTCTGCCTGGCTTTAACTAATTCTTATAGATTTGGTTGAATGATGAAGCCATATTTTCTTATGACCACAACTAGCCAACTCTTGTCCAACCTGATCCATCCTATGCATAACAGATCTCATGTAATCCATATAACTTCATTACACAACCCCGTTGATTTGTTTTCCCTCCTCCTCACCTAGCACCCAACTGAAACGTTACCTGCTGAATATTACTCAATCTGTTATACCATCAACTCCACCTACCAACTAACACACACACACACAGGCGGGAGAGAGAAAACAGACAGATACCTAAGATGAAAGACACCTAGATAGCTAACCAGGCTTTTCATGTTTTCTACTTTCAATGAGGGTCATGTTTCACTCGCAGCCAAGTGACTGCCGAACACTACGCACGTCTTTTGGTCAACAACCAGTCATCCAAACGACTATCACGTCTGATAAGCTATGGATGGCGTCAGTTGTTGGCAGATGCCGGATGAGCCTTCTTTAAACATGCTGTGATTTCTCTAGCGAACAGATCAACGCTCTGATGCGGCTTATGCAACTTCTTAAATAATAAGTGGGTGGTTAACACGCTCCAGCAACCATTTCACTGCCTCTCTATCTTTAAGATAGGAGTGAGTCGATGTAGTCCAGTCGTGTGGCGTCATACTATTATTATTATTTGAGTAAACTGACTAACTGGACGCCTCAAGACGCTAAGGAACTAATGTCTTCGACTTATTGGTGACATGGCTGAAAGAAGTCGCGTTGGGTGACGTTCACACTCCATGTGATCTAATCGAAATTCCCATTTTTTTATCTCTGTGTCGTAACACCGTTTATTATACTTCCGCTGTATTTCTGAATTTTTTTTTCTCTGCCCCTCTTTTTGTATGCTTTTATAGAGTATTGCAACTCCTTGAATTCCTGTACAGCTTCTTTTCTTTTTACTAAGTTAATTTCTAAGCTGAGAATTAATGCCGTTCAACTTATAACTTTAGAATTCACTCACAATATAATACCCTTAAAAATTTCATCGAGCGATCCGCCTAAAACTTAGGCTACCAAAAAACCCCCCATCACTTTGTTTGAATCTAATGAAATATAACCTATACTAGTACTGTTTACTTTGGCGAGTATTTAAAACATTTACAACGTGCTGTTCTATAAGTCGACTCTACTAAAACATGAGAAAAATCATTATCCAGCGGGATGGCAGTTTATCCCAATACATGGGATAACTGTTCCTCAACGGTGTGTCGTTGGTTCACAAAATCTACTCCTCAAGGTTTACCACCGAATGGCATTCAACAAAATGTCATCTATTTCACGAAGAAGAAGAAAAAGCGAAGGTATCATAATAATGGATTGATTTTTGCGCTCCAGGTTGTAAGACAGAACTGTGTCAAACGATCTACAGTCGGCCGGTTAATTAATCGCTTATTTGAAGATCCCGGGATGAAGAGAATCTGTCATGGAATAGACTCGGCTGAAAAAAATTCTGTGTACATTACATATAAACACTGCTCAGAATGGAGCTGAAGAAATAAGCAACGATTTTACGCCTCCACAGAATTAATGACAGCTGAATAATAATAAAAATAACTGACTGATAGATGTGCGTCGGTGGCACAGTGGTTAGGACTCTCGCCGACCATGCACATGGTCCGAGGTTCGAGCCCTCGCCGACGCACACCTGATATCTATGGTCGCCCTGCAAAATTTGGGCTACCGATATCCACGCTGAAAATTCCATACTTGTACCAAAAATACAATGTGAAATAAAGCTGTAATCAAAAATAATAAATAATGTACAACTATGGAAATAAAAAAGAAATCAGTTTAAATAGCCAATTTAAAGTTTAGAAAAGTAATGCAGTGAAACCTCTACACACCTACCTCTGTACAATGAAGAAATATGAACAGGTGGAAGATAATAATAATCAAAATTCGATGAAGAATTGTGCAGTCTCCTCCTCTACTCTCCTGAGAACCTCATCATTATCATCAATCATCAGCCCACCCTAAGGCAGTCGACAATTTTATGATAATGATGATGTCTGTCTGTCTGTTTCCGACGCAAAACTTTGCACCAACGTGCGGCAGTTCAAGTCGCCACACTTCAGCCCATGTAGGTCACAAAGCAACAGAAGAAAGTAGAAGAAATGCATAATAGAGAGACAGTAAACAGAGGTGTGAGACAGAAGGAATAGTTATAACGAAGAATGATATAGTTTCATTGGAAATCATAAGTCACAAGGAGTGGATGCATCTGCACTATCAATGAGAACGATTTTCAGTCATGTCACCAATTATTTCCAGTCATTGGTTTTTACCGTCCCGAGGACCCCAGCCTGGAAGTCTACACATTTCTAGGTGGCTTAGACCAACTGTTGTAGATTTCATTAACTGCGGCTATGTTTTGGTTTGACCGCCGCTACCTAGCTCTTTTCCAACCTGACCCTATGTCAGCTAACATTGCCCGTCAAAGGAAGGCAATAACTAGGCATACGTAACACATTTCCTAAACATCTAAGTCGATGTAATTTCACAGCCTCGTCGATTGATTTCCCCTCTTTACCTAGCTGGCACTAGACCGAAGCCTAACCTGAATATTGCTCACCTTCTTATACCGCTTCACTCGGGAGATAGAACGCAGGCACCTATGATCAAAGACAGCTAATCTTTTCATGTCTTCCACTCTCAAAGGTAAGGTCTCACAGCTAGCCATAAAAGAAGGACAGAGTGAAGTGACTGCTGAGCAGTACACCCGCCCTTCGGTCGATACTCGGATATCACGTCTAATGATGATGAAAGATGAATTTGAGTTACTTCAGTGTGAATACAATCAGACAAGTAAAATTCCCTTTTACTACTTACTAAATATTCTCAATAGTCAGAACGGTGGGTTTGTATGTGTACACCGCTTTAAACCCTTCATACAGTTGCAAAAAAACGACGTTCATAAATTTATTTAAAAAGACACGAGCATCCCATTAACGATAACATTTATCCACTGAATACCTATTTAATTATACACTAGTGTCTATATAAAGCACTTGAGCTTCTATGAGGTTGGCAATTAGCCAAATCTATTTCACGAGGGTGTTAATTATACTGTCTGGCTGACCACACCTCGCTGGCGGATAAACAAGAGTTAGACAATGTGGATGCAAAGTAATTGTAAGTCGAACTAACGACAAAACCACTGACCCACACAGCTGCTCTACATTATAATTTAAACAGACAAATATATTGGAGGCAGTGGAATCCAGGATAACATGCATTTCATCCTATCTAGGACCTGAAGCCGAGCACTTCGGTTCAATCAATCAATGGAAAAGTCCAAATTGAATTAAATAACAACTGATCCCCGTTGCTCAAGAGGTTTGGTGGATAACCCGCTTTAGCGGGTTCAGACGAAAGTGCTAGACCTCTGTTGACGACCTGTCGGCGGCTCATTGTGCAAAAACTTCAATGATACCTGATGATTTAACCGGAAGTATTTCGGTGGATGGTGACTAGTAGTATGGATTTCAGAGTGCGCATTTCGTCCCATTCGTGACTCATCAACCAACTGGATGTACCTGCATTCCCCAGTAAGTGTGATGGTATTCCCAGTCAGGAATGAACCCAACACCAATACTTTCAAACAGCAAGAGGTGGCTCTCGTAGCCCAAGTGGTTTAGTATATAACTCTCTCTCTAGAGTTTCAAACTATGGGTACAGGGTTCGAGCCCCCAGTGGGTACGCTATCACTCACCCACTGGGTAATGCAGGTACATCCAACTGATAAGCCTGTCCCAAGAGGACGAAAATAAGGTCCGGATTTTCAAATCCAATGTGAAGTCAGTGCTACTATGCGGATCAGAGACTTGGCCAGCGCGTCATAAAGAACACCTTAAACAAACTACAGACCTTCCTTCATTATTAGTTGTCTTCGCTCAATACTCAAGATCGGATGGCCAGCCAGAAAAGATCAGAAACAGGGATCTCTGGGAGCGAACCAACCCAACAGGAACCAATTGTGCAACAAATAGGCAGGAAGAAATGGAGTTAGGTGGATTGGCCATACTCTGAGGAAACCATCAAGTGACATCACTAGACGAGCTATCGCTCGAGTGGAACCCGAAGGGGAGGCGGCGAGTTGGTCGTCAGTGCAAGGGTGATGTGAAGAGGAGATGAAAGCATGTGGGCAGACTTGGAGCGGGGTGAAAAAGTTGGCAGAAAACCGAAGGCAATGGAGACGTGC